ACGATCACTACTCCTGCTGTATCTGAGAAACGACAACGCATTGCATCTCCTCCGAGTAATCAACTAGACCAAGATGAAGATATTGAGATTGACTTTGATCTGGGAAGTGATGATGATGTACCACAGCCGACAGCACATGTACCTGTCACCACTACTGCAGCAACATCCGATACAGATTATGATCAATTCGCTGCCGAACTCGATTTCGATTATTGCACTCAAGATATCCAAAATAATAAACAACAAGATGAAAGTTTCGAACGCATTCTTCCACCAGAACTCAGTAAATCAACCCCTTTAATGGATGAATCACCTGTGAGAACAGCTATTTCGCATACACCTACCATGAAGGATGATGTCAATATTGCACCCGCTATGCTGAAATGGCTCACCACTCGACCACCTCCTTTCAGCGAAACGGCAGCTCTGCTGGTTCATGAAAGGATGAATATAGTTAAGATCAAAGCATGGATCGGCAACGAGACAATTGCACCTCCAACCAAGACTCGATCTTCAACACCTTCTTTTGGGGACGATGACGACTTTGAAATCGACTTTGAAATGTTAGAAGCATTGGAAAACAAGATACCCATTCAAGATACACCGTTTGATGCCTCCTTTCATCAGATGTTGGAAAATAAGGTTGGAGAGGATTATGAAGGTGCTCCATCATCTTTTCATATTCCTGCTGACGAAGACGATTTACCATTATCCAATACAGGATTACAAAATCCCATTCACCACGATCCAGTAAAGTCGTCAACATCACCATCACCTAAGAACAAAATATTATCACAAGCATTACCATCATCACCCATGACCACCAAACAGCCATTATCATTACAATCACCTTCATCTCCACAACAACAACAACAGCCAGTAGTAGAGTCACCAAGGCAACATGAAAAAATATTATCATCCCCTGATCGATCAATGCAAACTACACCAATACATGACGATCTATCCGACAAGACCTTATCACCTTCACCTTTACGAAGGGCCATGCTTAACTATCAAGGTAGTCACAACATGCGTGTTCAATTTATTCCACCATCACCTGTTTCACGCCCACGACAACCACCACCATCACCCTCTGCTATCATTGATATCAGATCACCCGATAATAACAAAGCACCATCATCACCATTACGCAAATCCATCACGGTGAATGAAGCCATATCCATTGTATCATCACCATCACGTGCACAAGTTGTTATATCACCAGATCAATCAAGATTCTCTTCACCATCACCTGTATTTGCACGTCGTCGACGAAATCCCAAAATGCGTATTGGATCTGATGAGGAGGAGGAACAAGTTGATCATGATGAGAGATCGAAAGTCATACCCGACACTGTTATCAGCGATACAGACGATGGGCAAAGACTCCAACTACAGCAACGTCGAAAACGTGATAGGCATCAACAACGACATTATAATCCCTTTCTTGATTTGGAAGCTGAGCTTAGTAGTGATGAAGATAACATGCCTAAAGGACGACGACGACGACAACGACGAGCTATAAGCGAGGATGAAAATGATGATGGTGGTAGCAGTACAACCGATTTATCTCGTATGGATTCTTCCTTTATTGACGATGAAGAGGGTGAAGCAGCATCTTCTGCGGATGTACAAAACATGTATCGAATCAGCTTGATGAGTCAACCGCCACGGGATGGGGAAAGTACAGTGTTTACTGCAAGGCGCAAGACATGGATTGACAAGTTTGAAGCGGAAAAATGGCTCCAAGATGATGAGGACGATATTGTGAATATGAGCAGGCTCACAGAAGAAGCTGAAAACGAAAACTTAGCATTAGAAGTTATGAGTAGTAACGATGATGACTTTATGTAAAAACTGCATTTTGTTTATTATATGATAAAACCGTCTGTACATACAACAAGATCAATTAATCTTTTGCGGTGGTGGGGAATGCCTTGGCTTCCAAAACTTGTTGACGAGACTTGCTGTTGGGATCAAAGTAAGGTTTTTCGGCCTAATAAGAGTGTATGTGTGAGTCAAATAATAGAATCAAAGAAAAAGCTTACTTACAGTCGGTGTGATACGGAATCCATGTCTGATTCCATTGCCAAAGTAATCGTTGATGGCAGTATGATATGTGGCACGGTTATCCCATACAGCAATAGAATCTTCTTGCCATTTGAATCTCACTTGGAAATCATGACCACTTTCGATATGATTGAAAAGGAACTCGAGCACAGTATCGGATTCACGCTTTGTAAAGCCCACAATACGACGTGTGAAACCACGTTGCACATACAAGCTCTTCCATCCTGTAAGTGGATGTGTACGTACTACCGGGTGCACATTGTCAGGTGCTTCACGGCGTAAAGGATATCCTGTAATTCTTGCAGTTTCACGATGAACATCGCCTGAGTGTACTGCTTCCAACCCTTCGAGAAACTTTTGCCATGCAGGTGAAAGTCGATCATAAGCTGTGTATCCCGATGCAAAAAGTGTATCACCACCTCCAGAAGCTGGCAGGGTATCGATCTTTAAGAATGTAAGACCTGCAGGCTGCAATTCGTAGCTGATATCACTATGCCAACCTATATTGTATTATTAGTAAGAGCGGGAACAATAGTATCTTTTCAAACGTACCATCACCTGCACTTCTCAATGCATATCGCTCACGAACTTTGGGACTAAGTAGAATATACTATGTTACAAAATGACTTTGACAACTTGTGTTCGTTGAGTATAATACTTACTTATCATGTTGAACCTGGATAGTTAAGATCTCAGGAGCACTGGGTGGGTGAGGACCTACATTATGGACATGGCTATATTTGTTGCGAACATGAGTGTGTGTGCACTTGTGTGTTGATGAGTAGGAAGCACTTACAGTGGTCCAAAGTGACGGCCAAATTCTAATGCTTGCTTGGGAGTAAGATCCTGGTCACGAAAGAAGACAACACCACGTTCAGCGACTAGCAATGCTAGATCATTCTTTTGCTGCTCGGATAACTTTGATAATTGGATGCCATGGATTTCGGTACCAATATTGGGAGTAACATCAAAAACGTTGGTGGCATCATTCAAAAGCGAAGCTTTAGCAGGATCAGCCAAACGGCCAGGGTCCTTGTGTTCAAAAGGCTCAAGAGGTGGATACTAATGTTGATCAAGTATTAGACTTTCGTGCCTTTGGTAGCTCTAGAGATACTTGCATAAACATCAGGGTGCACACCGTAGAATCCTCGTTCACGGACAAGCTTCTTGAGATCCAATTCTTCAAGTGTTATACTGCTCAAAGTGTCATCCACTTTGGTATCTTGGGTGTTTGGAGGCATGGTCGTTGAAAATTGATATTGCTAATGATATTGTAGTTTCCATCTCTCATAGCACGCATATATATAAGTGTGGAAATCATATCGCGCAATTTTTTAAAGGGATGCGTGCTCTTTTTGCTCTACACTGTAGTGTGTATTATCCACTAGCAGATTTTCCCATTCACAAAGATGAGATTTATTGTAATTCACAAGCTGCAAAATAAACGATGCGGATGATGCAATCCGCATTATATTTAATATATCATTTATCAAATAGAGATAAGGGATTGTGCAATGGAAGAGCAGCAGGGTAAAAGTTGGGCTATTGCATGACATATTATCTACCCAACTTGGATCTGGGATGAGGTGATCAGCATGAAATCTGGTGTGGATTGTGCGACGTTGATGCATATGTCCGCACCTGATAATTGATGTTATGCAATATCGAATCAAAGTACTTGTCCGATCAAAATGGGAATTTATTCGATGGATTAACTGAAGGGACAATGAAGCACATCGCATGAAACTGGAATAATGAGATTGATTGTGTGGCTCATTACTACTACGCGATATCACAGGAACAAACAATAACACGACCATCTTGCTAATCTCAATTCAAACATGATCAACAATGACAAATGTGTTTTTTATTTCTAAAGTAGCTATTCTATTCCAGAAACCAGCTGCTATTGAGTCGCTAATAGCTATTTCCCCATCTCATCCAAGCAAGAGAGAATCTAGTGGGCATCGATCATGTGCTAGTTTATTTGTATACATGCAAAAGAGTGAAATATGTTTTTCGTAATAATAGGTTTTGATGATACAACAATAGTTCCCTTCATGAAACAATAGAGTCGTTACCAGCCGGCACCGTCATCCTTGGTATTATCCCCCCAAGCAGGTGGTACTTCAGGTGGCGCTCCCCAGCTATTTGGATCGTTGCTTTCATCGACAATATTGTGTAATCGAAACTCATCAGCGAGTAGATCTTCTTCAGACATTGGCATCTCCACTGGATCTGTAATGTCCTTTGCCTTGTTCCAATCACTAAACGTCTGCCATTGTGGTTCACCAGGATGTCGAGGTGGCGGTAATAAAGTAGTAGTGGAAGACATGCATGCTTAATTTAGCGCGTATCCTTTGGTACTTCATCCCATGCATATAGAATCCAACAGTGTCTATTATATTCTGTCAAGTTATAGAAATCACTCATAGCATTAAACATACGTAGCATCTTCGCGATGCTAGACGATATTATCGCACTCAATAGCTATCCTTTATGAAAGAGTTAGAGAATGCAGCAACACACTAATGTCATATAGTCTCTGAAGTATTAATTTTCCAACAAATGTGATTGATACTTGTTTTTCTAATAAATAAGCATGCAGATATATATTATCAAGGTTACAGCACCATGTTGGCAAGATAACAACGGTACACCATAGTAAAGAATAGCACAGGGCAGTTGCTGGGAATGATTTAAAACACCGAGTTCTATCGTCGCACCAGCCAATGAAAGCATATTAGATATTACTTTCCCAAATTGCTGCACATTGACCTACCATAAAATTATGACATTCATGTCATTGGATTCTGCGTCTTCTCCGCTAAATTATGGTGAAAACTATATTTCTCTAGGACGAACTTTTTAAATTCTAAAAAAGGAAATTTTTTCACTGATCATATTTCTCACCCATTTTTGGTAACAATGGGGATATGGTGTAGTGGTATCACGTTTGCTTTGCATGCAAAAGGCCCGGGGTTCAAATCCCCGTGTCTCCAACTTCTCTTTTTTCGTTGTCGCAGCAACATAATAGAACTTCTTGATCGGCATTGTCGTCTTTCTTTTTGGATCCACACAGGATAAAGACGACGTCCACAAAGGAACACCACGAAGGAATATAAGAGACCACAAAGGATAAGACCACGAAGGATATATAACCACGAAGGATATATAACCACGAAGGAATATAAGAGCCACACAGGCAAATACAATGAGAATAAAGAGAACGTAAGATAATGTTTTATTCTATGAAATGGTCCACTATTTATAATTGTTGAGATGGGGCTAAGTATATAAATGCCAAGTAATAATGATGAAGTGGCGAAGTAGAATATGTCAGGCGCAGCATAAAAGAGATGTCAAAGATAACTGTGCCA